TTTTGTTTATATGTTGTTCTCCTGTCAGCAGTAAAAATCAGTGTTTTACATTCACGTATTGATTTGAAAGATTTACCACAAGACATAAAGATCTCTTTCGTTATAGATTCATGTATGTTTTCATATTCATACTTTTTTATTCAATACGAGTTTGCTTATTGTTTTTTAAATCTAGTTTGAGTTAATTTCTAACATCGCCTATATAGTTACCAGTTTGAAGAAAAAAAAATATTTTCCTAAAAGCGTTCATGGATTCAAGGAGAGGGGAAAATGTTTCCATCCCTCTATTTTTCTCTCCATCAAACTTTTTTTGGGTCCATGTTTAAACATAAGTTCATTCTCAACTTTATCTCGAATTCAAGATTAAAAGATTAGTTACAAATCACAAACTTAACATTTTTACGATTAATTCTTTTATTTTAAAATGACTAAAATTTGGCTAAGAGATATAAAACCCTAGTGATCAAGTCATGCAATTGTAAGAGAATTTTTCTCTCATTAGATGTTGGTCACGCATATGCGTATTTGTAAAGATACTCTAATTCCATCAACCTTTAATTATACATTATAAGATAGATCCATTATAGATATAATTAGATCATTCGACTATAAACTATCATTAATCTATGTTTAGGCCTTACAATAACCTAAATCTTCTAGATCTTTATATATTATTAAGGTCCAAAACCAATCAATTTTAACTGATTAACATTTAAAAATATATCAAATTACCATAAGATTTATGTAACGCACCATGATCTAACTAGAATCATGAGTGTTTGATTATACTAAATTATTTAATATGCAAAAATTCATTTTGAAAAATGAAGAATTTAAGTGAGTTCAATTCCAAATTTTATTACAATTATTTACATCACTTCATCCCGATATCTACATTCTCAAAGCTAAATAAATTTTTTGAGTTTGGAAATATAATCTCAATACCCTTTATAGACTACGTGATCTCTACATGTGTTAGGGGTCTAGTCACTGCTTTAACTTATTTGAATTTGATTGTGAAATATCCTGCTCTGAAAGAATACAACGGGATGAGCTACACGTGCTCAGTAAGAATCATTTAATAAGTTAACCTACAAACTATAATTAATACAAGTGGGTCTTCATGCACTCTACCCCCAAGAGTGCCTAAATTTCTATGTTTTTTAATCTCTTAAAAGTTTGGGTGCCTTCTTCGTAACTACTCAAATGTATTAATGTTATCCTTCATATTTTTACTATTATTGTTCATTTATCCTTATCTTATGTAACAATTAAATTTCCATTGAGATATCAAATAATATATAACTATTAAGAGTTTCAAATTTTCAATTATTACACTCACACTATAATTATTTTCACTTCTCTTCTAATGAACGCATCAATCTCAGTGTTAAGAAAATGCAAATGTAAATATTTATTTAACGTACCATTCATCTCTTATATCACAAGTAGACATCGGTGTCTTATCGTACGATGTCGTTTACATCATTATCAAGATGGAATATTCAATGCTATCACTAACACATAGACACAAATAATCAATAAATGCCAATGGAAACCATATGATACTACCAACAGACGGGCTCACACTCGACTGTAACGGCCACATACCCACAACTCGT